GGAGAGAGAGAGAGAGAGAGAGAGAGAGAGAGAGAGAGAGAAGGAAAAGCAAATAAAATTTCTCGAAAAAACATGTAACCAATTGATGTTATGTAATGATAATTATTAGCTTTCAAAACAGAATTTTCTTTCCACTATTTCCACCCACCCAACTACATAAACGAAAACGAATTGAATTGAACAACAACAATAGTGAATTAAATCAAATCTGATTGATCATTACTATCATTATCATCATCATCATCAAAATGTTTTTCCTTTTTTTGTGTTTTTGAGTATGTAAGAGTGAAAATAGTGGTCATCATTTTATGTGTCAAAATAGTTTTGGTAAATTTTTTGAAAGACTGTGATGATGGTCAAAATGAAAAATGTATGTTTGAATGGCGAGAAATCTTTCGGGAACAACAAAAAAACAACATTCCAGTAGTGTATGTAATAGTTTGGTTTCCAAATCTATTAGTAAGCAATTAAAATAACATTTATCATTTTTTTTTTCTCCTTTTGTTCTATTCTGGTATATATGCCGGGTGTCGATTTGTGTTCACATAGTTTACACACACACGCAATCATTGTGTGTGTGTCTGTTGAAATTCCAACCAAACAAAGAAAAAACTCAAGAGAGACTTGAAAAGACGTCAATTGTTGTTTCACTGTATCATTGTAAAACAAACAACCATAGAAGCATCCTTTTCATTCATTCTTTCTTTTTCTTTTTTGGATTCTGATGGATGAGAAATTGTTGTTTTGAAACATTATCGATCGAACCAAACACATCATCAACACATAAAGATAGAGAGAAAAAAGAAGAGTTTTCTCATCCAATTTATGTGTGTGTGTGGCAGACCAATGTGATTTTTTACCAAAAAACATTTCATTCATTTAGTATGGAATGATATAGACAAAATGAAGAAGAAGAAAACTAAGCTAATCTAACAACAACAACAAAAAAAACATCATTTTCTCGTTCGTATTTCGACGATGGATGTTTTAAAGTGTATAATGTGGCCTGTAGACTGTTTTTCAAAAAAATAAAATAAAAGACGATTATAATTATGGAACCAGTCATGTGATTAATTAATTATAATCATCATCAGCAATTCTGTGTATCGAGAATTTAAAAAAAATACTGTAAAATTAAAGTGATGGACGATTCATTAATTTTAATGGATCTGTGAAAAAAAAACTATTTAAAAACAACCAAATGATAACGCTTTAAAAAGTGATGAATTTTTGAATTTCTTTTGAATTTTGAAAAAAAAATTATTTTTTCTAGTTCATTTCAATCAGGTTAGGTTGACTATGATCATGACTTTTAGTTTGGTTTGGTTAACATTGTTCCATTTGCATCCAAAATATGATGGATATTTCTTCTTCTTTGTTGTTGTTGTTTTTGGATGTCAGATTTGGATTTCCATTGAAAAAAACATGGAAAAAAACATGTGTTCCAAACAAACAAACAAAAAAATGGATAGTAATAACCGAAAAATAGCAATATTTTTTTCCTATTCCCAAAGATTCTTTCCATATAATTCTCCATCTTTTTGTGTGTGTGTGTGATATATGACTATGATATCCGTGAAAAAAGGCCAAAAAAAAATATGACTGCCTGCCTGGTTGTGTGTTATCTGGTTGTCTGGTCGACAAAGTTGTTTTTTTCTCGGTTCTTTTTTCTATTCTTTTTACCGTATGGAAGCAAGAATAAATCGTTTTTTTTTTGTTTGCGTACGGTGAACTGAATACTGTAATGGATATCCAACAGAATGGATTGAGAAAGAGATAGAGAAAGTGCGAGTGAAACTAAACTAAACTAAACTTGACCGTTATTTTTTTCCCACTCTGAATCGGATGATGAGTTTTGGATGCTAGACGTTGTTACTTTTTTTTGATTAATTAAATAAAAATAGTAGTAACTGGGGAAACCCTGAAAGGAAAAACAAAACAAAAAAAATCATTTTGGAAAATCAGTTAGCCAACAACTGCTGACAACACTAACACGGATATGACTGATATGCATATAATAGATTTATTCGTTCGTTCGTTCTCTATTACCGTAATACTGATGGGAATTTTCCCGGGATAACTAAACTGACTGACTGACTGGATGTTTTTGTTTTTACATTGAAATCAAACACAAACACTATTACATCCAAAACATTATTGAGTCTATCTAAAAGATGTCCGAATAATGTCTGATGTTTTCTTGCTTTTGTTTTTTATATATTACAAATATGATGATAGATGATAGATTAAAGGCCCATAGGGGCCATCATCATCACATTACATCACATAACACATCGCATTGTTTTTCCTATTGGTCAGATACAATAGATATTATCAATCAAAATTTAATGGATTTCTTCTTTTGCACCAAGAGAAAATCTGTATGATACCCTGAATTGATCCAACAAGAACCGTTTGTTTTCAAAGTGTTAAAAAAAATGTTCAAATCGAATGGCAAAAAGCAAACATTTTTTTAGATTAAAAAAACTGAATTTTCTTTCCCTACCTTTACCCGTGATAGAATATGAACGACGTACAACAACATTTGGAACAAATAATCCAAATGGACCAAATGGTATTATTAATCAAGCTACTAGTATTATTGGTGGTGGCGGTGGTGGTGGTGGTAAAAACCATCGTATGCGATATTATAAAAGTAAAGTTTTCTAAATTTTTTTCTCTGGAAAATAATCAATTTTGACAACAGAAAACCGGAATAGAAATCTGAGAATGATGATAATGATATTTGATTTTTTGATTTTGTTTGTAAATTTCGTAATTTTATAATAACTAATTAACCTTATTTTCGTTTCATTTTACATTGAAAAAATACACACACACACACACATCACTTCGAATATATGAAGAATATCAACCATATAATGCATTAATTGGTGAAACAATATCATTACCATGTAATATAACACCACCAACAAGTGATGATGATGTATCATTAATATTATGGTATCGTGATGATCAATCAACACCAATATATACGGTTGATGCACGCGGTATTGGTAATAGTTTAAAAACGGCTAAACATTTTTTCGATCAAACAATATTAGGTGTTGATGGTATTGATAATAATAATGATAATGATAATGATGATCGTGTAACATTCAATATAACATATCCAATTTCATATCTACAATTTAAACAAACAATTGCACATGATACAGCTGAATATCGTTGTCGTGTTGATTTTCGTCGTGATCGTACTATAAATAGAGTGATGAAATTAAATGTGATTGGTAAGTTATATTGAATCAAATGAAATGAAATTTAACACTTTAACACTTCACAACTTATTATTATTTTCTGTTTCTACTACTAATTATTAATTTCAAATTCAATGATTATCAACGAAATTAAAATAAACAAAAGTACCAGCCAATAAATTAATAATATATGATCAAAATAATAATAATATTAATGATATTGCCGGTCCATTTAATGAAGATGATTCGTTAAATTTAACTTGTTTATCTGAAGGTGGTTATCCAAAACCAAAAATTCGTTGGTGGAAAGGTGATCAAATGATTGGTGATTATAATATTGTTGTTAATGATGATAAAGAAACAACAACATTAAAATCATCATCATCAACAACAATGTTTATAGTAAAAAATGTGATAACATTTAAAAAGATGTTACGTGAACATCTTATGATGCCTCTAACATGTGAATCAATAAATACAAATCTTACAGTGCCTGTTACTAAAACAATATTAATCGATTTAAATTGTAAGTTTTTTTCTGTTGTTTGAATTTAAAACCTGAAAATGAAAATCTATCTTTTTTTTACTTTCAATCAAAAATTGTCATCAAAAAATCCAAAATTAGTAAAACCAATCGAAGTAAAAATAGTACGACCATTACATAATATGACTGTTGGCCAACGAATAGAATTAATTTGTCAATCAAGTGGATCAAGACCACCGGCAAAAATTGAATGGTATAAAGATGGAAAATTGCTGGAACATTTTAGTGAAACAACATCAGATGATGGTTCCGTTACAACTAATTATATGGCATTCATACCAACAATCGATGATAATGGTCGACAATTAAGTTGTGTGGCTAAAAATCCACAATTCAAACAATTCAAATTAGAAGATCGAATTGAATTAAATATACAATGTATGTAAATTAACTACTTTTCCATAATCAATTTTCATTAATTAATCAATTCATTTTTGTTTCTTTTCTCTTCAAATCCACCGGAATCCGTAAAAAAAAGATGCACCAATCCTATCATTATTGTTGGGAGCAAATGCTAAACAACAGGAAATTGTTGAACATAGTAGTGTCTATTTTGATTGTAATATTCAAGTAAGTAAAAATAGTCACCATAATCATCTTGTGATTGAATTGATCAATCAACCTTAATTTTATACGAATGTTTCGGTGATTTTTCAACGATAATTCAATTATATTATCGATATTTATTCGATGAAAAAAAAAATTGATCAGTATATAATTGGATTGAATCAATCAGATAGAAAAAAAAATAATAATCGGATTTTGTTGTTGTTGTTGACCATCGCATAAGAGACAATCACATTGATTGACTCTATGCGTTGTTGTTGTTGTCAATAACTAAATTTAAAGTTTTTCTTTTTCATTTTGACTGACATTAATTATAGAAAATGTATGGTTTTCTCCTTTTGGTTTTAATTAGATTTTTTTTTGTTCAAAAGCCAAAAATCAAATTAAATAATGATATTATTTTTGGTTTTATTTGAAGTTAATGAATTTGTTCAGAAATCAGAAAGAAATCATCATTATCATTATTTTCATTTTTGTCAAATTAATCTTAAATCAACTTGAAAATTTATGCTTGAAAAAAAGTGAATCAAATATCAAATGAAAACCATTATAATGATGAAAGTTGTCATTAAGAATTTCTTCTTAGTATCTTTGATTTTCTTGGATTTCTTCAACCGCACTCACTAGCACGTTTCCGCAATATGATGAGTTGTTTATTTCCTGTTTTTCTTTTCTGTCATTTCAACTTTGATAATGATGATGATATTTACTAAATCAAACAAACAAACAGAGAGAGAGAACTAGCCAGCTGTTTGTTTCGGATTCACTTTGAAGAATTTCTTAAATTAAGTAATAATCAACATCATTATAATCAATCGATATAGTTTACATCCATTACATCTTTATCTTACTTTCGCACATCGACATTATCATTATAGAATTGAACGAAGAAGCAAAAAAAATTATTATTTTTCTTTTTGGATGACAGTTTTTGTGTGTGAAACAAACGAATGAAGAAACAAACGACTAACGAACGAAGAACAAAGTCAATAGAGTGGAATTTTTAATGAGAAAAAAATATTGGAATTGAAAAAACAGAAAACAAACAAACAAAACGAAACGAAAAAACAAACAAAAAACCGAATGTTCTCAACTCTCTTGGATATTAATATTTTCTTCTTCTTCAAAAAAAAAATGTCCAATGATATTAGCAATGTGAAAATGAAAAACAAAAAATTGATTTTGCACTACTAAAGTCGTTAGCCAAATTATCTTGTTTAGTTGTTGTTAATGTTGTTAATGTTTGTTAATGGCCATTTTTTTCAATCATCAATGATGATCGAAAGGGATGATGATATTGTCATTGGAATGAACAAACGAATCAAGAATCAAGAATGCTTAAGAATTCTTTGGAATTCAATGGAATTCTCGTTTTTGTTTTTGTTTTTTTTACTCCACTAATAATAATAAAAGTTGGCCGATATGAAATTCTTTACGTTTTCACATCACCATTACACGGAATCAGAACCAAAATTCAATTAGAAAAATCGATTGTCCAGTTGTTGTTTTGGTTGTTATCATTTTGTTAACCCTGAAGCTATTTTTCGAATATAGAAAAATGTTTGTGAAAACAAATCGTAATCTTTTTTCCTTGTTGTTGTTGTTGTTGATAAGAAGCAAGGAAGAGCATGTTCTGGATCACGAGATGCTTAATAATAAATCACACAGTTAATTATAGTTTTGATTAGTTGAAAACAGCAACATTATGAAGCAATCAGCGATCATTTTATGACATCTTTGCCTCTTGAGATCATTTTGTTGTTGTTGATAAATTTCATTGATTTGATTGGAAATTTTAATGATTTTTTTTCTGACATTTTACAAAAAAAAAAATGAAAAATAGGCAAATCCATCGGTAGAAGAATTTGGTTGGCTTTTCAATGGAATCGAATTGAATCAACCGTTGAATAATGTTGATGATAATCGAAAATTGAATGAAAGTCGACAAGCAATCAATAAACATCAACAACATTATCATAACAGCGATGATGATGATCGAAACGATAATTTTGACGATGATAATCAAATTGATTCGGACAATGATAATGTTGTCGACAACAACAACAACGATAATAACGATAATGGAATCGAAATACGAAATAATTCAATAATAATCAATAATGTTAATCATAAACATATTGGTGGTTATCAATGTTGGTCTCGTAATCGTTTGGGTAAAAGTTTTAGTGAAATTGTACAGCTTAATGTTAAATGTAAGTTAAATGAAGGAATGTGGAATGTTTTTTCTGGACAAAATTATTGAATTACAATGTTTTTTTTTCGTTGTTTTGTTTGGTCATTTATCACTCACTTTTTGCAATCTTTGAAATAATTTTCTGTTTTTCTGTTTCAAATGAAATTTAATTTGTTGCATTTTTATTTTCGTTTTTGAAAAACAAACAAAATGAATGAAAAACATCATCCAAAAAAGATTCACCAATTTGTTCAACGGATAAAACAATGACATTTGAATTGGAATTATTTGAACAATTGTCCATTGAATGTACTGTACATTCAGATCCAAAAGATGTTATGTTTTTCTGGGAATTTAATTCATCATCCACATCCACATCATCATCCGCATCGCCTACAGCAGCTGATATGTCGATCATTGTTGAACATTCAAACAACAACAACATGAACAACAATGATAACAATGTTTTAGATTCTTCTTTTACATCCGAAAATCAACAACAACAAAAACATCCATTAATGAATATTGAAAATTTTGAAATACCATATTATCGTAGTGTTATACATTTTCGTCCTAGTTCAATTGAACATTTTGGTACATTATATTGTTTTGCACAAAATCGTATTGGTCGTCAACATCGACCATGTATATATCATATTCATAAATCAGGTTCGTAAATCATAGCGAAAAAACTACAACAACAACAATGTTAACTTTACTTAAACAAACAAACATTGAAAACTTGTCCAAACAACTAATATTTGTTTTTGTTTGTGTATAGAAACACCAATGGCGCCAAAAAATTGTTCATTACATAATATAACATCAACATCATTAACTGTACAATGTCCATTGACGATAACATCATCATCTTCATCTTCATTGAATAACAGTGGCGTTTATTTGAAAAAACATTATTCAAAAATAAATGATTATAATGATGATGATGAGCATCATCTATCGGCAAAAAATAGCAACTATTATTATAATTATAATTATAATTATATTTTATTAATTTATAATGGTTTAAATCATAAATTAATTAGAAATTTAACACAAACACCAACATCTTCTTCTTCGTCATCAGCAATGATTCGATTTGATGTAAATAATTTATCGGTTGATGATATGGATAATCTGAATATATTTATCTATGCTGTTAATCAAATGGGTGGACAAAGTGAAAGAATTCTTGTACCGGCTACGAATCTGGTTGGTCAGCCAAAAAAATTGGGTAAGAATTTTCAAAATTTGAAAAAAAATCCAATCTTTCTTTCTTTGGTTTCCTGGTCACTATAGAACACATTGAACAATTTCGTTTAAATAATATTCGTCCATTTCTTTTACTAATATTCATCGTTGGTTGTTTGATAACATCGATCGGTATTTTTATTATTATGTTTTCAATACGTCTAAAACGTCGACGACAACGTTTACGACAACAAACTAAAACAGCTAAAACAACAGCAACGAAAAAATATTCTAAAAGTAAATATTTGCTGAAAGCAAAACCAAAAAACATTTTTTAAAATTCATAGAGATAATTTATTACTTTTGGATGTAATTTATGGACAAAAAAAAATTCTTTTTTCTTAGATTCTAAAAACACTAACAACAACAACAACAAAAATCATTTTGAAAATAACCATAATAACCAGAATAATGAAAAACAAATGACATCAACAACAACAACAACAACAACAACAACTAGAAATAACGACAACAACAACAACGATGAAACAATACGAATAGGAAATGTTTTTGACATTGGTGACCAACAACAACAACAACAATATCATGAACATCAAGATGTTTTGGCAATAAATTCAACGAATCGAATGAATGTTGTTGTTGTTAATAGTGGTGGTTATGATGATAGTACAGTTCAAACAACTGATGCTATTATTATTATGGCACCATCAACAACAACAACAACAACAACAACAATGACAACAACAACAACAACAATCACCGATAATAATAATAAAAAAACTACATTACAGAATAATAATAATGATGATGATGGTGATAAGATTGCCAATTCATTATTATTGTTACAAAAAGTATCAAATTCTAACAACAACAACAACATAGATTCTTCCGGTAATTCTGTTCAACAACAACAACATTTTAATTCGGAAACAATGTATGTTTCTTTTCTTTTTTGTTTCCCTCTTCATTATCATCGTTTTCGCATTCTAAACTTTTTTTCCATTTGCAATTCTCATTTTTTTCTTTGGATTTTTTTTCTTACAAACAGAAGATGCAGTTCAAGATCAAATTCATTAAATAGACCAACAGCAATGTCAACAACAACTGCAAATTTGAATGGAAATTTAATGAAATTTAAAACAATCAACGGTGATAATCATGATGGTGATAATCACGTTAGTTGCAGTGGACAATTGTTATCAACATTTTCAACAACATCAACTAATAAACATTGTCAAATAGTTCAAATGGCCAAAACATTTCATAATAACGGTAATGATAATGACAATCAAAGTATTTTGGATAAAAATATCGTACATTATCCACCACCACCACCACCACATCATCATCATCATCATCATTTAATACATTGTAAGTACATCGATTTGACTTTTCTTTCCATTCATTCATAATTTTCGGTGTTAATAATAAAAATGATGGAAAATAAATATTTTAAAAAACAACAAAAAACCGAAACACAAACGCCCGTAAAACAAACAAATACGTTTTTTTCTTCTTCTTCTGCTAAATGTAATTCCACTAAAAAAAATGAACAGAAAATATAACCGTAGTAATCATATATAATTTACCATTTATGTGTGTATATGGTCATCATCATTTACAAAAAAAAAACATTGTTCAATCGTATCAATCATTTTGTGTTTTGTTTCAAGTAATCATTCGAAATGTATTTTCCAAGGTTATTGTTGTTGTTCTGTTGTGTTGTTTTCTTTGGTTCTTTATTCACAGAATGGCAAGAATTTGTTTCCACCACTATCTGGTAATGTCATTCACTGGCCTTTCAACAAACGAAGGAAAAATTTTCACCGTACATGAGGAAGATGAGAGAAAAAATTCATAAATGTTTTATTTGGTCAGTTTTGATATACCGATTTTCGATTTCAAATATCAACGATACAGGGTGTTGTTATTCTTGTTGAAAATCAAACCTAAACAAACAAATACAAACAACCAACGAAGAAATCTTATATATTTTTTTCCCCGGGTAATAAACAAGAACCAAACACACACACACACACATTAACATATGCAAAACATTTGTTCCGAACATATACCGATAACCGAATAAAATCGGGTCACCCAAACAATTACAATAATTTGGGAAACTGGCTGGAGAAGAACAAAAATCAAGATTCCTCTGATGATGATGCGTATCCCCTTTAGTGTTGTTTGTCTTCCCCCAATGTTATTTATTTATTTCAACAAAAAAAAATATTTCGATTTCCAAAACCAAAGAAAAAAAATGAACCATAAACGATAAGTGAGAGTGAGAGAGAGGCGAAAGAAAAAAGCAAAAATCAATAATTTATAATGCCATTCACAGAGATGAAATGTTAAATTGGTAAACAGAAAAAAAAATCCAAGAAAAATCTAAATCTAAAAATAAAAGGAAAGGAAATGGATTCCATATCCATTTAGCCAGCCAATTCAAGTTTTTCTAGGTTTCAAGCATTTGGATTCTTGTTTTGCTGTTTTGTTTTTGTTATTTTTTCCAATCCGAATTAAACAAATCAAATCAAACCAGAATCGAATAGCATTTCAAAAAAATTATTCCAATTTTTGGGTAAACAGCAAGGCAAATTGTCAATTTGGAAATATTTGTCTCCTTTCTTTTTTCAACCAAAACAAAACAAAACAAACGAAGAGATTCGAGCAAATGACAATGATACTTTGGTTTTATTGATTTTTTGGAAACAAAAAAACAAAACCAAAAACAAAAAAAAAAGACAAAACCAGAATAATCAAGCAAACAACAACAACAATGAGGAGAGAAAATGAGAAAAACAAAATACGTTTTTGATTGAATTTTAAATTTTCAAACAACAAAAATTGTTGTTGCCATCAAACAATCATCATCATCATCATTAGAATATTGAATTTTTTTTCTTGGTTTTGGAAATCTCATTAACAGCAATCGATTTTTTCGTTTGTTTTGTTTGTAAATTACATAATCAAAGCCACAAAAATCAATTTGATAATAATGTTTGTTTGTTTGTGTTTGTTTGTTTGTTTTTTCATTCATTTGTTTCATTCATTTTAGGTACAAATCATAATGATAAAATGATTGAAGGAATCAACCAAGATGATGAAATGAAATTATTACCACATCCTCATCATTCTTTTCATACAAATCATTCTTCGGATTACCACCATCATCAAAATCATCATCAAATAAACATAACAACATTACCAAGATTAAAAACATCGAAAACATTAATAAATTGCTCTTGTTGTTGTGGTGGTTGTGGTTGTTGTGGTTGTCATCATCATCAAAATGAACATCCAAATCATCATCATGGATCATATTTAGAATTAACAACACAACAATCGATTGTATCGAAACCATCACCATCGATTATCAATAATAATAATCATCAAAATCAAATCGATTATTTATTACATCATCCACAACAACAACAACAGCAACAACAATATAATCCTGGTTTATGTACAGAATTATTACCGATGACCATAATGAATTCATCATTACCAAATAATGATAATAAACAATATTCACATGTACAAATCTGTCCATCACCACCATCACAATTATCATCATCATCACCATTATCAACCATAACACAGATTGATGATTATCATCATCATAATCATCATCAACAGCATTTGGTTCCTGAAGAGCTTACCGTTTATATAACCGAAGATAATCCAACGATGAATCCAATGATAATCGATGGTAATCATCATCATCATCCGCTACAACTTCATCAAGATGAACAGAATTTTCTTGCTATAAACAATTTAACCGATCAACAACAACAACAACCAGAATTACATAATGTAAGTATTAAGGGTAATTTTAATGATAACCAAAGATTTTTTTTTTTCAAAGATGACATCTTTTTATTCACAAGAAAAACAGAAAATGGGAAAATGATATTATGTTGAAGGAATGGAAAAACAAATAAACAAGACTTTCTTGACGGTTTGATTAATTAACCTTTTGTTGGTTGTTAGGTTTTTTTTCTCTCAATCCAATGTCATTGAGAGAATGTTTGGTTGTTGTTGAAATGAGAAACAAAAAAATCATTAATTTAGATGTTAAAAAAACTAAGGAATATCATTGTGTGTTAAAGAAGAAATTGTTGAATTAGCATCTTTTGTTCAAGATTTATTTGTTTGTTTGTTTTGGTTAGTTAATACTGTCAGAGATCAGATCTGCTTGTTTGCAAACCGAATAAAAACGAGAAATATCCATCTTCAAAAAACACAAAAAAACAAAACAACCAACCGAATGACCTGAATTTGTTAGACAAAAAACAAAACAAAGCAGAAATCTTTGTACAACATTAGTTTCTTTTCTCTTTTCTCTCTCTCGCAATTCTTCTGGATCAATTAATAATGACTACTGCTAAAATCGTTTTTTGTTGTTGTTTTCTTTAACCCTCTCCTTCTCTCTTTTTCTTTTTCTTTTTCTGTTTCTTTCTGATAAAGAATTCATTTATCTTAACATCATCATCTCAATCATCAGCAGCATCATCATCAACGAATGATCAATCGGTAGTGATAACATCAGCAGATTTGGTACCAAAAATAGCAACAACAACAGCGACACCTGTTATGAAAAATTCTCAATTACATAATAATACAATGATGTTAACAACAACACCAATACGACAAGTATCAAATTTCCGAACAACATCTATGAATGGGATGTTGATATCGGATCAATCAATGATAATGGCCACCAACACCACTGCAACAACAACAACAACAGCTATAACATCATCACCATCATCATCAATACAATTACAACCAAAATCGGCAATTAAAGTACGATTTGTTGAATGATTCCAGCAAATTGTTTTCGGAAATTGTCTAAAAATAATGTTAAATTTTTCTATTTAAAAAAAACAATAATAAAAAACTGTATAAATGTTATGTAATAGAATGTTATTATTGATAATAATAAAAAAGAAATGTTTAAATCAATTGCTAATTTATAAAATGGTTAAATGTTACATCATTACTTTGGTGAGAGGGGAAGGAAACATTGTCATGATCATGATGATCATCATGATAATAAAATGACAATTTTGATTCGTCTGGCTGGAAATTTTCTTGGGAATTTTGTAGTTCAACAAAAAGAAAAAGAAAGTTTCTTTCTGTTGTTGATGATAATGATGAAAATCAAGTCATTCATTCGAAATAATAATGGAAAGTGATGAACGAAATAATCGATTCTTATTATCATCATCATCATCATCATTAGATCCATTTAAATTTAAATTTAAATAATGTGAATTTTGATTGATCCAAGTGAATTTTGAATTTATCATTTGAATTTTTATTTTGACTGTAGCGAAAATAATCGTCCATCGCTTAACGAAACGGAAACACTTTTTTTGATAATGATGATGGCTATAATGTGGAAAAATAGAGCTTTTTCTACTGCTTCTGCCGCTGCTGCTGATAATCGACTGTGGGGAGAGAAAAAAATTAAGCTTCAACCTCCCCCCGTCAAACGCTTGAATTTTAAATGGCCATCAAAATATTTAAAAAACTGAATTTTGGACTGGATAAAAAATCGATTCAAGAGGAAAAAATTTAGTTTTTTTTCCAAAAAAACAAAAAAACAAAAAATGAAACTTTTTCAAAAAAAAAATTATTGTTATTCGGAATTAGTGAAAAAAAAAACGAAAAGTGGTCACATCATTTGAAACAAAAAAAAAGTTATAACCAACCAAACAAATACCAGAACCGAAGGCGATATGAAAAAAATAGCAATTGGTAAATTCCTGCTTGCAGAATAATTCCTGATGGTAATATAGTGATTATTTCGGTGATTTTCAGTTATTTTTATTATTTTGACATTTCAAAAATCCAAATGCTTTTAGGCTTTCATTTTTTTTAAATTATAAAAAAAAATCCAAATTAGTTCATTATGATGACACTAGATTACGCTACATACATCAGATTTATAAATGAATGGAAAAATTCTGTAGGGTTAACTCTGATCCAATTCAAGTTTTTTTTTTGGAGGATCAATTCTTGAAATTCTTTTTTTGTTCTTTTTCATTCCCAGATGTTTCCAGATAACTTTTATTTTACAAAAAGAAAGTAAGAATAAATCCATAACAACAACAACAATTGTATTCAACAACAACAAAAAGGTGTAAATAGCTTTTTCGATAGTACAGTGATTGATATGTATCGATTGTTTTGCGTTTTCGATTGTGTCAACAAAAGTTATTAAGACAAGAAATAAAATGAAAAGAAAAGAAATTTTTTCAGAACGTAGAAAATTTGTATTGTTTGTTTGTTAATTTTTCTTCTTTCTTTCACTTATTTTTGAATGAATCGATATCAAAAGATAAGAAGATTATGTGTGTGTGTGTGAAGAAAATAATTGATAATCATCATCATCATCATCATTTTTGGGCGCTCAATCTGGTAATTCAGTTCAATTTGACTTTTTTTTTGGTGCATTCTTTTGACAATTTTTATTCATTCATTGAAAGTCAATGAATGAATGAATGAATGAAAACTTTGATGCCTTTCATTCCATTTCATTCATTCATTCACACATTTTAGATACACATTATTATTATCGTGATGATAGACAAATAAATAAAGAATTTTTTTTTTCTTAAATTCTGGATTCTTCTGTGATTTTGGATTCTGAAGTTTTATTTTCCAAGAAAATAATAATTCTTTTGTTGTTGTTGTTGTTGTTTGATATTTTTTTTTTGTTTCATTGTTGTTGTCGTTTTTTTGATTATCTTTTGGCCATTTCTTCAGAAATCAACAACAACAAAAAATTTTACCTTGTTAGTTAGTTCAGTAAAATGTTCAGAATTTTAGTTTGTTGTTCACAATGATGATGATGACAAGTATTGATGAAAATGAAAAATATTTTTTTTTCTACCATGAAATCCCATCACCTAATGATACAAACGAATTTGAAGTGAAATGGAAAAAAAAATCAAGGGAAAGACAGATCCAAAGATTGATCGATCGATGACCTGAATCCAGGGATTCTTGTTCATTTTCCAGGGAAAAAAAGAGTTAAATTAATGAAAGAAAAATATGGATTTTAAAATAAAATTTTTTTATTTTATTTCATTTCTTCGACATTTCACCATTATCATCAAAATTGAAACAATCAAAACAGACAAACAAACAAACAAACAATACACAATCATCAACATGATAAACATCAAAATATTATTAGTTTCATCAAAATAAAACTAGAATACAAAAACAAAAATAAACATTCCCGAGAAAAAATATTTCCCGGAAACTTTTCGGCTATTTCAACATCCAAATAACCTCGACATCAGTCATCATCATCATTTCATTGATTTTTTTGTTTTGTTTCTCATCGAAAATGTTTTCTTGATGATAATATTGTTTTTCTGGGCCAAAAAAAAAGAAAAAGGATGATGATCATTGGTGATGGTCGTTCGGTTGGTTTGTTCAATTTTTTCTTTTGTTTTTGGCCAAAAATGTTTTGCCCAATCAAAAGTTGTGTTGTTTGTGTCTATGGGCACCATATAGTGTTTGTTTGTTACAAGCAAAAAGAAAGAATAAAAAAAAAATGTTTAACCAGAAACACACAGAATATTTTTGTTTTTTCCAAAGAAAAATATTTATCATAAATGAATGAATGAATGTTGTGTTGTGTGTGTTTATAGATATCGATTATATGTTTTTTTTTTCTGTTTGCTGCTTGAATGATTGAAATCATTGAATGAACAAACAAGCAATAATATCGACAAATTGATGTTAATGTGATGCAATGTTTTGTTGTTGTTGTTGTTGAACGTTATCCATCCGAGAAAATCTTTTCTTCAAAATTTTGTTTTTTTTATTTATTATTATTATTTCCATTCAGGCATTTGGTCCGATAATAATGTTATGATCGATACTATATATTCAATCATTTCAATTGGCATATTTTTCCGATTTCTTAATTTCCCTTGGTTGTTTGTTTGTTTGTTATTTTGATATTTTGCATCATTACACATTGAATTTTTGATTTTTTTTTCTCTTTTGAAAATATCATCCAGGAACTGAACCAATATATATAAAAAAAAGGTTAAACATGAAAAATGAAAAAGTTTTTTTTCTGTAGTCCATCATTGTTGATTGTTGAAACAAAAATCTAAATTGATTTTTCATCCAATTATTTTCCGTTTGTTGTTGTTATTGATGCTCAAATTGATTTACTTTCGTTTTTTTTTGTTTTTGTTTTCAAAGAATCCTTAATCTTGTTATGAAATTGCAATTGAATCACCTTGGAACACCTATTGGATTCAGGAAATCATTTCCATTTTAGCCGTTTTTGTTGTTGTTGTTTCATCTGAATTATGAATTGGTGATAATTGTGGTGGTGGTGGTGGTGGTGGTGGGGTTGGAAATGAACGACATTGTCCAATTTGTTGATCATCATCATCAGCATTTTGATTACTATCGATTGTATCGAATTGTTGTTGTTGCGATAAATTATTTTCAACAATTACATTCGAATCATTTCCATGACAATTTATATCTTGAAAATGATGATTATGATGATGATGATGATATTGAAGATGTTCTGATATTGATTGTGGCGTTAAAATAGCCGACAATGATGATGATGTTTGATCGGTATGTAGATTTTTTGGATCTAATGTATAGAATTCTGGATTTTTTATAGTTGTTGTTGTTGTTGGTGTTGAGGCTGTTTCGGTTATAATAGTCGTTGAAGGCACAAAAGAATAAGGCAAAGTTTGATGATGATGATGATTGTGATAATGATTCGGATCAATATGATGATGATGATGATGACCAAGATGATCCGATGATGAATCAATAGTTATAGTTGATATACATTGATTATTACCATAAAGATTATCATCTAAACATTCAACAACTTTGTTTTAATAAAAGAAAAGAAAAAAAGAATGGTCACTATTTTGTTATCCGCAATACACACATTTGGTTATTGATTGGATCAATCAACTTACCATTGAATGTTGTTAAATCATTCATGATCGGATCTTGTTCATTATTATGACCACCACCACTATGTACAATATGACCATTCATTATGGCAGCAGCAGCAGATGATGTATCAATAACCGATGCTGTTGTTGTAATAATATTCGTTTCAGACGGAATATTCCAACTTTTTTGCCTTGATTGAAAATGAAAAACAAAGCAAAAAAATTTATGATTCAAAAAAGTCAATAAAATTTCAATTTCAATTTTGTTTTCAATTCATTCTATCATATGCAATTGGAATAATAAATAATTTCTTCTTTGAGAATTTGCTACAACGAAAATAATATTCTTACTTTTTCATAATAGATTTAGGCGTTATATTGGTTGACGTTGGTGGTTTATGAAGATGATTGTGATGATGATGATTTGAATCATTTGCCTGTATCACGGTTCGCATACGACCTAAAATATTTAAATGATAAGATTTGTGGTCAACATAGGGTGTTTGTTTTTTTGAAAGAAATAAATACCTTTTATACGATTCCGTATATGTACCAATATGGTTATCAATAATATCACAATAATAATTATCACAATTATAACCAAAACAAATGGTGTTATTATAGTTGAATTATAATCATTTGTTGATGGATATTCAGCTGTTTTTTTTGATTAATTAGAAGAAGAAGAATATTCCTCATTATAAGATTGTTGGTAAAAATATTTGAATAAAAACAAAGAAAAATGAAAAAACATACCAGATTTCCAAGGTGATGGTTCCGTTGTACTACCTGTAATTTCAATTGATTTAGATTTTCCTTTACGATTTGTTGAATAAATAACTAATTTAAATAGATAACCAGCCGGTAAATTATCGATTGAAAAATATGGTTGTTGTGTATTGCTTAGATTTTTTAATAAACGTTCTGGATTTAATGAATAAACCTGAAGGAAAAATGTTTGCTCTAAACCACCACTATAACCGGATGAACATTCAACTGTTAATGAATGTGCTGTTTTATTTACCAATGAACAATTATGCGGATGGCTTGGTGCTTCTGTTCAATCAATCACACATACGATAATGATAATGATGATAACGATAATAACCGGAATTCAGACCCGAGAAAATAAAACGCAAACACATTAACATCACAAAGTCAGCAAAAGTGATAATCATTTCAAATAGAAAAAAGAAAATGGAAAAAAATAAGAATTCGATACACGAAACAATGGGGAAATTTCCCGGGAAAAATAATGACAAAAACGTTTTTGTTTTTTCATTCATTTAAAACTTACCGGCTTTAATGATATGAAAAATACATGGCTTATCTTGTCGACCAATCGAATTATTCGCACGACAATAAATCCTACCATAATCATTGATTGTTGTTGTACGATATTTAGCTAAACTACGTAAACCAATATTGGTAAATGATTTGATCATTATACGTTTACTGGTTTGATTATGATGATGATGATTTTGGCCACCACTATCATCATAATTATAATTATTTGAATCATTTAATGATGATGATGATGATGATGATGAAAATTCTAACCACCATTCAAAATTAACATTAACTGGATTAGCTAATACTTGACATTCAATAGTAACGATTTCATCGATAGCAACACCAATAGCAATTATTTGTTTATGTTTACATTTTGGTGTATCTGGTGGTCGTTGTCATTATTATCATCATTTGCCATTATCCATATAAGTAATCCAGCGAAAATGAAATGAGAAAAATGGAAAAAAAACAGAATAAGAAAAATTGAAAAGAAAACCAGCCAAACAGAAAACAGAAAAAAAAATAACAGAATCATCATAATGGATCATCATCATCATCATCAGTTGAAAAGCAACGGAAAAAAACAAAGAAAAAAAGATGCTCTTTTGGCCTATTTCTACCCCTATGTGTGTGTGCTCTTTCAACATTCGGATGCGGCAAACAAAACAAAACAAAAAAAGCCCACTTTCTTTCGCTTTTCGTTTTTGAATAGATTTTTTATAAAGAAGAAAAAAAAAGCAAGAAAGAAGAAAATTCGAGCATCAAAATTCGCGAGTAGAATACACAAAAACAAAACAAAAAAAACGAAGAGAAAGAAAAAAAATCAATCGATTTTGCGAATATAAATCGAACGACATTCAACCAATTGATGATGATGATGATGATTGAATTGAATTTAAATCGAAATCGATTGGAATTGATTAAATCAATTTCAATTGAAATGAAAGAAAGAAAAAGAATCAAGATTCAGATTTAGATTCAAATCATGATGATGATGACAATCGATGAGTATTTGCACCCAAAAATATTATCTTTTTTCATTCAATAACCCGATGTCATTATCATCCTCATCATCATCATCACCAATAGCAATTTCTCGGAAACTTTTTGAAAATGTTTCCCCAGCAAAACAAAAAAATTGAATTTAATTACAGATGCAAATTCGTTTGTTTCTCCTTCCTATCTTTCTCGGTGTAATTCGCATTCCTCGCTGGAAAAAAGGTAATTTTTTTCAATCGGGTTTTTTCGATGAAATTGAAATGATTTTTTCGTTTTCAGATGATAATCGAGCAAAACCAGCCACACACACACACAGAATTTACGCACGAACGGACGGAAATCATTAAGTGTCACACACGCACGCACTCACACACATCAAACAACAAAAAACTATTTTTAAAACATCCGATTGATGCTTTGCTGATGCTTTGATGATGAAAATAGAAAAACAAAGTGAGTAACAACTTACATTTAACATTTAGAAAAACGGATTCACTTTGGCTTGATCCAATACGATTATTAGCAAAACATTGATAATGGCCATAATGTTCGTGATTTACATTTGTAACCAATAATGATGTATTACGCATTTCAATACCATTGATTTTTTTTGCTGTTGTTGTTGTTGAATTTAATGATAATGATGATGATGGTAACGATGATGATGATGTCCAAGTACTCGTATTAAGAATATCAAGTATTTGTCCATTAAGTTTCCATCCAAATGTAGTGACATATGGATTGGCCTGTCGATTTTTTTTTTGATTTTGTCGATGTTTGAAATGAAAAAACAATGACAAAAAAAGAAAAAGAGAAAAAATTGATATAGTTAGCGGCCAGATTGTGTGATCATATTTAATTTTCACTTAATTTTCTAACTGGGTAATGGGAAAAAAAGCCTAACAAACATCCATAGTGGACAATGGCAAAGATGTTCAGAAAAGAGACATTTACAAACTAAACTAAACTACAGACATTACTATTATTATGGCCTGTCAACGGAAATGAATTTATTCCAAATTCCTTTTGGCCAGAAAAAAAGAATTTCTTTGATATTTGATTTGACAATGGACGATGAAGAAAGAAAGAGAAATTCTATCGCTTTCTTTCGAAACAATGACAAAAGGATTTTTTGGGGGGGATTTACCTTTATATCACATTCAAAATAAACATTATTTCCTTCGACAATATCCTGTGAATGTGAATCAGAACCCATGATTAATGATAATATTGGTGAATCTGTTTTGAAATGAAATGAAAAACAAAAAACAAAACAAAAAAAAGTTTTATTTGAATTGTAAAAAAATCATAAATAGAATACATACATGTTATATTGATTGGCCATGAATTTTCAATTGAATATTTTTCAATTGATATTTTAGGATTAAAACCGATACAGGTAATATTTTTACCATTATCATCGATTGAAGGCACAAATGATAAAAAACTAGTTGTTGTAAGACCATCCTGTGAAATGATCTGTGAAAATGCATCCAACCATTGTACATTATTATTATTATCATGATTATCATTAACATTATTATTTGATTGTTGTGATTTTTTCCATTTAATTTTTGCAGCCGGTTTCGAACCTGAACATTGACATGCTAATTCAATTGGATTCAATGTCGATATATTATTCATTGGTGTTATTATACGTATTTCTTTTGGTTTTACTATAGTAAGAAATAAAAAAAATGAATTATAAATTATAAATTACAAATTAGGAAACAGGAATTAAAAAAAAAATAATAATAATATTACTTACAATAAAGATCCAATGTAATTGTTTTAATAATAGGTATTGTTAAATTTGTATTATATGCTTGACATGTTAATGATAATTGTAAATCATTACGTGTTAAATTATTTAATGTTAAAACATTTCTTGATATACTATTATTTATTATATAATAATCACTATCGATTAGATTTGAACCACGCCACCAATGTACAACAGGTAATGGATTACCTATTTTATTTTTATTTTTATTTTTTTGGAATAAAAAACAAACCAGAAACAAAAAAAAACAGAAAAAAAACGATGAAAGAGAATCAAGATATACAAATGAAAGATGAAAAGATAAAAAACCAAAAACCAAAAAAACAAATCAATACAAATCACACCATTCAAAAGAAAGAAAATCATATCATGTATTGATTTATATGTATGTATGTTGGATTGATGTTGTTTCCATATGTCTAAGTGTGTGTTTACCCGAATAAATCAGAGATTAACTAACAAACCAACCAACCAACTTTTACCAACATTAAGCTTCACTGATGATTATTATTATTATAATGATAAAACATATATAGACATTGTATCTTTTTTCATATAGTTTTTTGCCAATAGTTTGTTAGTTAGTTTGTTCAAGATTTCAGATAATAATAATAATAAAAATTATTAGCTTGTAAATAAATATTGTCGGATTCTATTTGCAAAAAAAAAGTGATGCGTTGTTCTCTTTTTTTTGCGAGAGAGAAAAAGATGCGAAAAAATAGTGTTATGGACCCATCAATATGTTTGGTATGTGTGTGTGTGTGATGGTTAAGCCATGGCAATTTTTCACCTTCATTGAATTTTTTTTTCCTTCTTTCTTTCTTTTCTGTTGAACAGTGAAAATCAAATGCTATATTGTAAGGGTAGAGAGATATTTTGTGTAGTAAAAAGAATCGACAAAAAAGAATCAAGAATAACAGAATAACAAACTAGATTAATTTTCAAGCTGAATTGCCATCTTGT